TCCTCCTCCTCCTCCTCCTCCTCCTCCTCCTCCTCCTCCTCCTCCTCCTCCTCTGCCTCCTCCTCCTCCGCCTCATCCATCCTTTCTTCTTATAGCTAACTCCTCCCGGCCGCACCGTGGCCGTGGGGCGGTCCGTGCGTTTCGCCCGAGGCTTCCTCGCCACGTGTGACCCTGAAGCTTGACGTCTGCAACAGCTTCACGGACGGAGGGCGGGACGTCTGCAGAGCGTGGCTATCGCCTTCGCGCCGCACACCTTCGTGCCGGCAGCTTGCAGCAGGGTCACGGATGGAGGGCGGGTCCTTGTCAAAACGGTGGCATCGCCACAGCGCCGCGCACCTTCGTCCTGCACGCTTGCAGCAGCTTGAAAGGTGGAGGGCGGCTCCTTCTCAAAATGGTGGGTTCGCCGTAGCGCCGCGCACATGTGTCTTGAAAGTCTGCAGCAGCTCCAAGGACGGAGAGCAGCTCCTTTTCGAAACGTGGCTCTCGCTCTAGCGCCACGCACATTCGCACTACAAGCCTGCAGCATCTTCAAATATTCGCACGGCCGAAGCCCCAGGAATTGCGTTCTGGAATGGCGTCGGATTTTCAGCACACAACTGGCAGGTGTGGGGGAAGCATGGCTCCTGTGAAATGGCATAGTGTAAGGATATCCTGTTCTCTGTGGTGGGGGGACGGCGGGAAGAGAGGGGTCACGTCCGTTCCCGCCGCCCTGGGACATGCGTCTCAGATGGCCGAAAAGGCTAATGTGCTTGTTTTGTCGGGCGGCGCGCAAGGTGGAGGTGCGAAGGGAAAGGCCTTCTGAGAAGGCGAAGTGGGGGCCTCTACGAATGCAGGCGGCTTTGTAGACACCGCCACGGGCTGGGAGGCAGAGACGAGCACCACAGTGGGGGCGAAAAACAAACGCTGGCGTGTGGCTCATCCAGCGCTGCACAGGCGGGGAACCGGGTCCCTGCAACTATTCACGAGAAGCATTGGAGGAGCCAGCGCCTGCAATGCCGTCAATACCGAGGCGCTTCCCAGAAGCTCGGAGGCATTCGCATCTTGAGGCCCTGCCTTCCAAGAAGCCCCCCCGCCCTTCTGCAGAGGAGCAGCAAAAGCATACGCACAAACCGGTAGAGGTCCGCGCGGATTTCTTGGATCGGCGCTGACCCCCCCCTCCATGGCGCGCGGAGCGCGCCAGGGGGCTGTCCGAGAGGCGCCGCCAGGGGGTTCCAACGATGATATGAGAAATCTGCGCGGCCCTGCGAAAGCTCATGCTTACGCCGTCGTTCCCTCTCTTCTTATTGTGTGGGCGCCCAAGGTCCATGCTTATGCCACGCTTTCTTAGTCGATCCTCACAAGGCTGCCCCCCATCGCGCCACCCCCCTCCCGCTACGTGGCGACATCCGAGCCCTACCCCCACCAACCATCCATTCTCCCGAATCGATGGGAGGCGGGGGTAGGGTTCGGATTCCGCCAAGTGTTCGACGAATTCCGAACCCTACCCCCGCCGCCCATCGAGTTGCCTGACTCGTTGATCGGCGAGGGTGGGGTTCGGAGTTCGCCGCCGACCCCGTGCGTGCCATCGAACGATGAGCAATAGAGCTGCCCCGAACCCTTCGGGAGGGGACCTGAGCTGGGAGGGCCACGGAACTGCCGAACCACACCGCCCGGACCTGTGCACCCCCGCTGGGCAAAGACGGGGAGACCGCAGTGAGGCCACGCCTCCGCCGCGCTGCTGCACGCAGGGCTCTCTTTTCTCGCTCGCGAGGACCGAACGCATGCCGCCCCTCGTCTCGGGAGCGGCCAACAGGGGGGGGTGTCCAAGAGGGGGGGGTGCAAATCATGACCGGCGGCATGTGCGCGGCCCAGCGGGGGGGCCTGGGACGTAGTGAAATAAGCAGAGGCGCCATGAGATCTGGGGAAAAAGCATGGCCCGCGCCATGAAATTCCCCCCCCCCTTATAGTCATCACCCCCCTTCTTTTCCGCCCCCGAGACTCCTTTCTCGCTCTCGATGACCGAACGCATGCCGCCCCTCGTCCGTCGAGGCGCGGCGGCGGCCGGGCGGCGGGCCGCAGGGCGCCCGCGGCACGGGGCCGCGGGGGGGGGGGGGCCGCGCGCCCAGCCCCGCCCCGCCGGGGCGCACGCGGGCGCCGCCGCGCGGCCCCGCGCCTCGCCCCCGCACGGACACCACCCCGCCTGCGGCCCCGCGGGGCCCCTGGTTACCGGCCTGGAACACATCCCTAATGCGGGATGACGGTTCATAAAATAAATGGGAGAGAACGTTTTAAAAATAATAGAAAACTGATATTTCTACATAATTTTCTGACTGGAGGAGAACGATTAAAATGAATAGTTCTCCAGCCCGCGGCCGGTTTTTTCTAATCGTCATCCCGGGCGCCGCCGCGTGAACACGACCCCCGGTCATTTATTAATCGTCATCCTCCATTATCCCTAAGCTGGGCATCGCCTCAACACAATGCCAATCTCAGGGATTCCCTCAGTTTTTCAGGGCGGATCCCGAAGATTGGCATCGCCTTTTGGCGTGTCAATCTTAGGGAGAGGGATACGTTCGAGGCTGGTGATCTGGCGCGTTCGCTTGGAAATCTGGCGTGGGCCTCATGCGTGGTGCACGCCACGGCCCCCGAGGGGCCGCAGCGCACCCCGGGAGGGCCGCAGGGGCGGGGTGGCGCCGCTCATATTTTCCGCTCGGCCGGGCCTTCTGGCCGCCGGCGCCCCGGACCTCCTCGCGAGGAGCTGCTGACCGGGGTCAATCCAGGCCCGGGGGTCCAGTCAGGCCTCGCAGGAGCCTAGCAAGACCTCGCGGGAGCCTGCAGGATCCCGCACCCGAGGCCCGGGTCGGTGCAGCCCGGGCTCTTCTGCGGGATCCTGCAGGATCCTGCGCTCGGACTGAGCCCCGGCTGCATGGACCCCCGTCTCTTGAGCCCCGATCTCCGACGATGCGATGTGCGTCGGTCCGGGCGTTCCTCGGCGTCGGCCCTCGGGGGCCGTTGTATTGGGCCCCGGGACCACCAGAAAATCTGGAGAGAGGAAAGGGGTATGGCATAAAGGAGTGCGGTGTGAATTTCATGGATAGGGGGCTCTGGCGGTGTTACTTGTCGCAGATAGCATCGCCATTTCCACGATTGGCACCATACCCCTTTATGCCACACCCCTTTCCGACCTCCAGAAAAAAAGATCCCGGACGAAAGATCACCCTCGGGGAAACGGTCGGGACATCTGGAGCCGCGGAGTGAAAAAAGCTGAGATCGGCGGATGTCCGTCCACAAAGGTAGCGGGCCCTGATGGAAACGCAAGGGCGCCGAAGAGCCGTGCCACATCCCTCCTCGAACTCAAGCGCGAGTTTTTTCCCCCTACGTGGCGGCGTCCCAGGACTCCAAACTTTCGATGTTCGCGCCGAAACTGGCGACTGTAAACACAAAAGTCTGACCCCGCGGGCCGCGTTCCGCGCGTCGATCAACATCATGAAACTTGCGCTTCATTTCGGGGTGGTCTGCAGGAAGAGGCGCGGTGTGGGGGGGGGGGTCGCGCATCATGGCCCGAAGCATGTGTACGGACGAGGGGGCGGGGGGGCCTCTAGCGACGCGTGGGAGGCAGAAGAGGGGCCCGCGAAGCCAGGCAGAGCTCGCGGCCCTTGCCAGGATACGGGCACACACTTTTTTGATCCGCGGGTCGAGAGCGCACCTCTTCCGGTCGAAGCTACGCGGGCCGCGCGAAGCTTGACTTAGGCAGAGAAGAGGAGGGAGGAAGCGGAGGACACCGGCACACACCCGGGACTCGCACCCCACTCTTCCACGGCCCCGAGACGTGGCTCCCCTGGACCCAGGGGCCCCTCTCCCCTGGCCCCAGTCCTGCAGGGCAGTTTTTAATACATAGGGTTTATATATATTATATATATATATATGTATATATACGTCGGATTTTGAATACATGACTAATGTATGAATAGATTTATGCATGAACTCATCGCTGTTTTTGCTACTGGATCCCTGCATATTTAATACATGATCCGCACGCGAAGCATGTATAAAAAACGGCACTGTAGGGTCGTTTTGTTGACGGCGCTGGGGCCTGGGGAAGGCCCCAGGGAGTCCGAAGCCGGCGGGAGCCCCAAGACCCAGTTCCTGCAGCACCGTCCTTCCCCCTCATGGCGACCATGCCGAATCGGCCCCCGGACCTCTCCAGGGGTGCGCGTCTGGCTCAGGCCATCAAGCCTCGACTGTAGAAGCCACCAGACACGTCCTGGAGCCAGGCGGACACACTGCGCAGTCTCAGCTTGAGGACTCTTGGGCTTCATCGTGCTCGAACTCCGAGGCTCGAGGAACACAGAACAGCATGTATACACACAGAATGTTTGACGGTCCGCGCGGACCGCCAAAAGTATCTGTGTATGCCGCCTCTTGCCCTTCGATCATCGTGCCCGAACTCCGAGGCGGATCCAGCCGGCCCCGAGGGTGCTCTGGGGGGCGCCACAGATGAGCATCGTTCAACCGATCCCCCTCCCCACCAGTGTGGGCCGGGCCCCACTGGCCGATTTACCCCCCTGGACAGGGGACACAGGCTGCTCTGTTCGGGTTTCGAGGGGCATATCCCCAACCTTGGAGGCCTGGAAATCGGCACCAGCACCAGCCCAGGGGGTTGCCTCCACAGGAGGAAGATGATCCTAGAATTCGGTGTTGGTGGCAATACTCCGGCCACCCTGGAAGCCAGAATACTACCACCACCACCGAGATCGGGATCATCTTCCCTCGGTAGAGGCACACCGCCGAAATTGGTGTTGGTGTCAACCTCTAGGCCTTGGTGAGACGGCGGGGCTCGAGATGTGGATGGGGATGGGGATGGGGATCGGTTAAAAAACAATACTGAGTCCAACCGCGGCCCCGAGGGCGCTCCAGGGGGGGTGGGCGCCACAGAAAGCGAGCCGGAGCCGCCTATATAAGGAGCCCGGGCAGGCGGCCTCCGGGCCCGCGCCTCCACGGGAGAGCTCACGCCAGGGCCCTCGGCGGGCGCCGGAACGGCGCCGCGGCGGAGGGACACCCTGCTGGAAGAGAGAAAAAACGCCTCAAGCATACAGTGGAGGCCAGTCCACAGGAAAACCCTCCACAAGGAACCCAACCCTGAGACCCCAGGACGTCCATGGATTTTTGGGGCGGGAGCGTCGCGCTTTCCATGGCAGAACCATCGCAACCCCAGAAACCCAGGGCACCCTGGAGGCAAGCAGGGTGTTTCTTGGCATGGGCCTCCACTGAAAACTTTTGACGGTCCGCGCGGACTTCCTGGATCAGCGCTGGACCCCCCTGGTGCGCCGCGGGGGTGTCCAGCGCAGATCCGAGGAATCCGTGCGGACCGTCGACAGTTCACAGTCAACCCGTATAAGAAGGTTGCGCGGTAAGGATTCAGGGGCCTGGGAGGGCCACGTTGACGATTTCCGAGCGAGATTGGCCAGCGAAGGTCGCTCCGGATGGGCTGAGGGGGCCAGGATGCAAGGGCAGCCTTGGAACATTGCCCACCCTTGTGAACGTTCTTTTCATTCGGCGTTTCGGCATTGGGCGGAAGGGGGAGGGGGGGGGTTCTGGCTCCAGGCCTCTGCTTAGTGCGACTGTTTGCAGCAGTGCGCTCTGTGGGGGAGACTCCAGCTGCTCGAGACAGGCGCCCAAAACAGCCCAGATCTACTCCATGAGGGGGGGGGAGGGGGGGGTGCGAGGGCCCGCGCCGATCGGCAAAACAATGGACAAGAAAACGATCACTTACTTTCTGGGTTGACTGTATGTGTTTATGCCGCTTTTCCTTCCTGGACCTACTCCATCTCCGACTGGAACTTCCACCCGCCGCCCTTCTGCCGCAGGTACATCTTGCCGGCGCACTGCGCGGGCATCTCCTTGCGTCGCCAGGAGGCGCCCGTGCATCCACTCTCCGCGGGGTGGGGTCCCGGGCACTCGAGGAGCAGGGTGGATACAGCGGAGGCCAGTCCACAAGAAACCATCCACGAGAAAACCAACCCCGAGACCCCAGGGCGTCCACTGACTCTTGGTGTGGTCACGCCACGCTCTCCATGGCAGAACCGTCGAAACCCAAGAAGCCCAGGGCACCCTGGAGGCAAGCAGGGTGTTTTTTGGCGTGGGCCCTCACGGTATCCACTGCCGCGGGGTCGGGTCCCAGGCACTCGAGGAGCGGTGGATATGGCTGCCTGTCCGCCCACGCGGGCGGGCAGATGCCCCTACCCACCACTCGACATCTCATGGCACGACCCAGAAGCAGTGGATGTGGGTGGACATATTCTGGCGGCGAATCTCCGTGATCGGCTCGCCCGTGTCGTACGGCGAGTACACGATGCCCTCGGTGTAGTGGTTGTACTTGATGGTGGCGGCCTTCGCGTGCCTTGCGCGGGGTCCAGAAACTGATGCGGCGGCAGGCCATGCGGCGGCTTCGGAATCCCACAAGACCTCGCCGCACGGTCAGTCACCGCATGGTTTGGGGATTTTAGGGCCTGGGAAGGGGCTCGAAGTATACACTACGTCGCTCGGTCGGCCAACAAGCTCGGTGAGTACACGCCCCCACTTCCCAAGCTCTGGGATGCTGGAGCGTCTGAACGCCGAACTCTTTTGTTGAAATCCCTGGCCCCTTGGCCGACCAAACGACTTGGTGTACATCAAGCCCCTCCGAGGGCCCTTGGAGCCCGGGAAGCGGTGCGCGAGCAACCCAGATTCCAGAACGGCCCGCTGACCTCGAACATACCTTTGACCTAGCGGACGCAGGCAGCGGTCAGGGTTCGTCGGAACAGATCGGATCGAAAGGAACAACGGCATAAACATATAAACTTTTGGCGCTCCGCGCGGATTTCTTGGATCTGCGCTGGGCCCCCCTCCCTGGCGCGCGGAGCGCGCCAGGGGCGGCGCCGGAGGCGCCGCCAGGGGGCCCCAGCGCGGACCCAAGAAATCCGCGCGGAGCACCAACATTTCATGTTTCTGGCGTTCGAATTGAGACAGCGGGAACTCAGAATCGGCCCCCAGACCCATCTCGGGGTCCAAGCGCACGAGCTTTCTGAGCTGCGCCCAGCCGTAGCGACGAAGGGCCCCCCGAAGGCCAACTACCGTTGTATCAACTCGCCCTCCCCTCGGGTTGGTGGTCTCGCCATCGCTCGGACGTCTATTTCCATGCATTTCTCGGTTTCGTGCGTGTTTTTTTTGCTCGATGGTCCAGGATCGTCCTCAATGGCTCTCGCCGAGAAAAAATGCACGCGTCCGAGCGATGCCAGGTGGTGGCGGGGGCTCACCCACCTGGGGGGCGAAGAGAGGGGCCCCTTTGGGGCCCTTTTAGGGCCCCTCTTGGAGCCGGCAGGGGCCCCCCAAGGGGCCCCCAAAGGCCCCTTGCTGGGCCCCTTTGCGTCACCCCTCTTCTGGGCCACCCCCCGCTACCAAGCGCCCGGCCCTCCGCATTCATGCGTTTCCCAGAGGGGCGCCAGAGAAAGGGACTTCTGCTAGGGGGCCACATGCGAACCCTACCCCCACCCCCCACGATTTCTGACGGGGGGGGTGGGGTTCAATTCGTTCGGGAGCTCCCGAGCGTAGTGAACCCCACCCTCCCCCTCAGAAACCGTGGGGGGTAGGGGTAGGGTTCGCATGTGGCCCCCTATCTGAGACCGCGGCGTTGCATGTGAACCCTCGGAAGGTGCGAGTGAGAGCGTCCTGCGACGGCCCTGCGGGCGAAGCCGACCGGACTTGAGACGTCGGCATCGCCCGTCTCAAGAGTCCCTCTGCCTGGGGCCCCCTCGGGAACCATATGAATTTAGTGACTCCCGAGGGCCACTCCGGTGACGCGATGCCCGGAATGAGCTCCCACCGGTACATGACGGGAATCATCTTGGAGGCGGCCCACATGCCGACCAGGCCTCCGACCACGGGCATGACCTTGTCCATGGCTCCGCTGGCTTCGGCGGGCAGGGTCGCGAGAGCACGCGCGGAGCGGTCTCGAGACCCGACAATGCCACAAGCATGTTAGCTCCTCCTCCTCCTCCTCCTCCTTCTCCTCCTCCTAGCGGTGGATGAGAAATAGAAGCGACTACATAGTGAGCGTGTTCTTATTCGGCGTTTCGACACTGGGCGGAATGGGGAGGGGGAAGGCGGGGGCTGGCTCCGGATTTCTGGTCAGCGCGACCGTCTGCACCAGTGCCGTCCCGTGGGGGAGGCTCCACCTGCCTGAGACGGGCGCCAAAGACAGCCAAGATCTACTCCATGGGGCGAGGGGGAGCGGGGGTGCGAGGGCCCGCGCCGAGCGGCAAAACGGGGAGTATAAAAACGATCAAGAACTGAAACAACTATCGGGTCGGGCGAAAGGGGGGGATAGCAAAGGGGGGGTTTGAGAATCAGCTCACGTAGCTGATTTTCCCGGCGCCTCCTGGCGACAGAGGCGGCTATGCATCGAGGAATGGGCCCCTCGGTGAGGCCGAAACCAGCTGCATGCAGCAAATTTCGTAACCTCCCCTTTCCCAATCCCCCCCTTTCGTCCGGCCTGAAACTACATGAACATAAATGTGCGGAGCTCCTGGCGGTGGGCCCAACTCCCTGGTGCGCGAGGCGCGCCGGGGGGCGGCGCTGGATGCGCGCGACCAGGGGGGCCCAGCGCCGAGGCAAGAAATCCGCGCTGAGCTCCGACAGTTTATGCTAGTGCAGTTTTTTGTTCGCCAGACGATGGAGCGGATTGCCCCTGCCTGGCCGCCGACGATAAAACGAGTGTATGTAGTTTTCCTGACTCGATTGCTGCTCCTCTGGGCGGAGGCGCGACTAGCGACGCTGGGAACAGAACGTTAAAAAAGCAACAGGTGGCATAGCAGGTCAGCTCCCGTAGCTGGATTTCTGGCGCCTCCCGCTGCATGAGAGGTCGTTTCCCCCGCTCCTTCCCAATCCCTCTGACAATTGGTGGTCATTGCGCTAGTCTCCGGCGGTCGTTCGGAGGAAGAGGAGGAGGAGGAGGAGGAGGACGAGTTCGGAGTCAGGAGGAGGAGGAGGAGGAGGAGGAGGAGGAGGAGGAGGAGGAGGAGGAGGAGGAAGGGGAGTCAAGAGGAGGAGGAGGAGGAGGGGGAGGAGGGGGAGGGGGAGGAGGAGGGGGAGGAGTCAGGAGGAGGAGGAGGAGGGGGAGGAGGAGGAGGAGGAGGAGGAGGAGGAGGAGGAAGAGGAGGAGGAGGAGGCCCCATCCATCCAGGGCCAGGGCTGTCCTGTGACCCCCGTGCCAGCCGCCCGCCCCAGTCCGACCTCGCTGGCGCCGTTGGTCAGGAAGACGCACGAGGGGTCCACACGGATGCCGTCCCTCTGAAAAATAAACTCCGATACCTGATGGCGGCACGCGGATACAGTCGTCGGCCTGACCTAAGGAACGATGAATAAGAAACGAAGCCCCTTTTTCCAAGGAGTAACGCGTAAGGAAGGGAACGATCTATGATACATATCGCATAAGGAGCGACTAATAACGCATGCAAGCCTGAGGAAAGACAGAGCCCCTTTTGAAAAGTAAGTGTTCCTTGTTCAAGCCGCTCACTGTAAGAGGCAGCATGTGGGAATCGGTGGCGAGCAAGGGGGGGAAATGAGAAGGAGAAGGCCCTCTCAGAAGGCGACGGGACCTCTCAGAGGCCCTTGCGCCCTCGGAGAAGCGATCTGTGTCTCCGGGGAAGGCTTAGAAGACTTCTCAGAAGGCCAGTGGACTTCCGAGCCTTCTGAGAAGGCCCGCCCCTTCTCACTCCCCCCCCAGGGTCGTCGCCGACATGTAGGAAGTGGCTCCTGACTGTCAGGGTCCAAGAGTGAATGGAACGCATCGGGGGCCGTATTCTCTGCACATAGCGCACCATGTGCAAGCACACCTTGAGTCATGTGCTGCATGATTTCCGATGCAACGTCGATGTGTGACGCCAGTGAAGTGCAAACACACTTGCGCTCTGCGGAGTGGCAACTCAGCAAGAAACAAAGATGCAGATGTGCCCCTCGGCAATATTCATCGTACTATGCATCGCTGCATCGCATTACTTCCCCCAGCATCGGCCGAGCTCCTGTCAACTTCCGCCAAAGACTTGCGTTTCAAAGATCACGCTGCTTTCTGTACGCGTTCCAGCGCCTTCCGCTAGCTCACCAAACAAGCAGAAGTACCACGCCACGTGAAGGGGGCACGTGGAACAACATGTTTTAATCCCACCTGCCCTCTGGGCGCGAGTGGTTTGGGGCGTTTCCTCTTCCATCTTCCATCGTCTCCTTCGGGGAGGGGGGAATCACGATTCCCTAAGAATAAACACCCCCTCCCCCAGGCGACCTGCAGTCAACCAGGACCCATGCCGACACTCTCCCGCCACCACCCCTGTCAACAAAACAGTACAACATACATGATGCCTCAAATATGGAACATGATCGGGCGACCCGCGACCACTTTGCATTGGTTTGTGATGGGGACGGCGGGGGTGTCCTCAGATTGCCTGCGCACAAGCCAACCATGCCTGTCCACCAAATGTACAACATATAAGTTTCCTCCGAATCTAGAACATGCGAGGGCGACCCGCGACCACTTTGCATTGGTTTCTGATGGGGGCGGCGAGGATGTCCTCATATTGCCCGCGCGCAAGCCAACCATCCCTGCCCACCATCCCTGCCCACCTAGAGCATGCGAGGGCAACCCGCGACCACTCTGCATTGGCTTCTGATGGGGGCGGCGAGGGTGCCCTTTATATTGCCTGCGCGTGCCAACAACCCCTGTCAACTTATAATACAACACTCAAGGGGCCAAGGACACAGACATACATATATATATATATATACACACAACTAAAAGGATTCCCCATATCTTCCCATAGTTTCTAGGTTTCTGTCTTCCCCCCATTGCCCACAGTTTCCCATATTCTCTGTGGAAGCCACGATTCATTGTGTCTGTGTGTTTGTTCCCCCTCCTGAAAAATGCCCCGTGCCCCCAAACCTGGAGCACGCGCGGCCGCCCCGCGACCATTTCGCAATTCCTTTCACAACAGGACTCTCTCGGGTGCGATCTGTGTGTGCTGGGAGGGCGGGCCAGCCACCCCCGCCAAAAACAAAACCAGCGCACTGCGAGGTACAGTCGGGGCTTTGACCTAATGAACCCAAAATAGGGAACGAGGCCCATTTTTTTTTTCCATCAGTCAACCTTCGATTTCCTGTAAGGGAAGCCTGAGGCAAACTGCGAAACATTCAAGGAACGCGGAGCCCCTCCCCAACGAAAAGGGTTCCTTCTTCAGGGCCCCGACTGTAGAATCTCGATCCTGCGCGGACACCCCCGTGATCTCTGCGCATTGGCATGTGACTGCGACGGCGCGGGTGCTGGCACATTGCGTGAAGTGTGCAAGCCCACGAAACGCTATCATGGCCACCCCGCCACGATTGCGCACCGGCTGCCCATCCAGCAGACACTATTGCTGAATACTCAGCGGCTCGGGTGCGACTCATGTGCTGGGAGGGCGGGTGGGAGCGAGCGAGGCGGCTTGCGGGCGAGGAGGGTGTTTTGACCCCTCCCGCTACCCCGTCCCCCGCCTGGATCTGGAGGGCGGGGGGGGCGCGGCTCGTTGGAGCGTCCCGGATGGCCCAACGCAGCTACAATAGGGTCTCAGAAAGTCGAAAATGACCTCCAAGATGACTCGAGATAGCTTCCAACATGTTCCAGGAGGTCCCAGTAACGCGCCAAGACGGCTCCAGGTGGCCACGGAGCCTCCCACACCAAGAGTAAACATTAGTAAACACCTACGGGACAATCAATGTGTGCGCGCTGCCTTCTCGCATTTTCGCTGCCCGATGCCCTGCGAGGCCTCGATATGGCTTCGACAAAAAAACCCAAGAGAGCCCCAGGAGGAGCCCAAGAGGGTCCCCAGGCGGCTCCAAGAGCGCTCCAAGAGGGGTCCAAGAGGAGATGTCAAGGGCTCTGGGGGGACAAGGCTAATTAGGGCGGGGCCCCCGCTTTTTGTTGATCAATCTCTTTCCCAAGATGGCCCCAAGATGGCCCCCAAGGCTTCCCAGAGTGCCCCAAGAGGGCCCTAAGAAATACGCCCAAGAGGCCCCAAAAGGCTCACCCGAGGCAGCCAAGACGCCCCAAAAAGGCACGACCGCCAAGAGACCCCCAAGACGCCCCAAGAGGACTCCAAGAAACTTTCTAAAGACATCCGAAGAGACGCCGAGAAGCATACAAGAGACCTCTGGCCTTTCTGTTCGCCCTCTTCCCCTCCCTCTTCTTCCTCATCCGCCCATGTCTCATCCTCCCTCCTCCCTCCTCCCCCTCGCCCCCCCCCCCTTTCCCCCTCCTCCCCGATCATCCGATTCCTCTTCCACTTCCCCTCTTTATTGGGTTATGGCGGCTCCCCAAACCTTTTATTCCTCCGCATGCTCCTCAACACCCCTGATCAGGGCAACTCGCCTCGGTGTCGTTTATGGATGGGATGGCGGGGTTACTTGTTGGTCGCGGGCGTCGCGGACCCAACCCGTCGCCGTCAGAAAAGTCGCACGAGAAGCGCGCGCAGGCCGGGCAGCCACAGGCGGCGCGCAAGAAAACGGGCCACAACGATGGCGAGAACCACGCAACGGGGGGGGAGAACGAACAAGAGACACAAGAGAAGAGCGAGGCGACGAGAAACGGCGAACGAACGGACAGAAGCGGCAGCGGCAACGAAGCAGAGAGAAAGGAAGACAAGACCGGAGGACAGAGGGCTAAACTGCAGCTCAGGCTCAGACCAAGCAGTAAACGACCGCACCTTGCCGGACAGCCTGTACTTGTCGTAACTCTCAGCATACCCGAACCAAACCACTCAGATGCGGTGTCGCGAGAGGCGAGGAGACTGCGGAGTGGAACTCCGGCAGCGGGAGCGGGCGGTAGCGCAGGGCCCTTGAAGCCGGCAGTCCATCAGGCCACCTCCAGGGCCAGCGCGGTCGAAGTGCAGAGATCCTCACATTCCTCGACTCACGGGGGGGACAAGAGGGAGGG